CGATTGCTTCTTTGATTAGGAGCAAGCAGTGCTGCTAAGATTCTGGACGTCAAGAACTGCAACGATAAGAAGCGCTGCTTATCAGTAGACTAAGCTGGACTAGTCTTGGAAGAAAAGGTGACTGCACCTGCAGTGTCGAAATCTGACAACCGAGTGGAATTTGGATTGGGATTTTCGGACGAACTGCTAAGGACGAGTCTAATGGTTGTGTGGGAACTGAGGAAACCATAATGGTGTCCGAGTCCTAACGCCGATTCGATACTGCGTGCAACACAAGACTTGCAGAGGGAATTGAATTCAGACTGTAACTTGCGTGACCTGAACATCATTTACAATTTAATGACGACAGGCTTTAAGAGCAACAGAGAACTGAGTTAAACATGGTAGCTGTCTGGTGGAAGTCTGTGGACTGGAGGGTCATATCTGTGAAGTTCTGGATTGCGAAAAGACACTGGAGGTCTGGATTACGTTAAGACCCTTTTGCGTAAAGATCCTGGACCCTAAAGACCCGTAAAGACATTAGCAATTAACGATATTGTTTGGGAACATTGTGATGAAAGCAAAAACGGAAACGGAATTGAATTCAGATTGCCATGGAGGAACCGAGGTGAATCTAGTGACTATACTAGGATTCTACAGCATGTTTGGTTCTTTAGAGTCACTATTGAATCTAGAACAAAAGCGTGAGATGATCACGGCCACCAGTGTAGAAGTGTTTCCGGGAGTTTTGCAAACCGAGCAAAAGTATATTGGAAAGTGGAGAGAAGCGAACGTGCCGAAAATTAACATCTGGCACAGTGAAACCTATCGTAGACCGACGGGAGCGCAATATTTAGTTGGATCGACATTAGCGCCAATGTGCAAAAGCAGATACCCATTTCGTAGCAGTGGATGTGAAAAGTACGAGGACGATTGTGGATCAAGCCTTTTCAGAAATGCGTAAGGATAGCGAGAATGTCAGAAAAATCTTACGAATTTTTGTGCAAAATGTTCTCATTAGTTCCAGAGAGAATCAAAGAAGAATTAGAATTGATACTGGGAAAGAAGTTCTTGGGATACGCCAGTGGGAACTTCAGTGACTTTGAAAGGCAGAAGCAGAAAGGGTCAACAGTCACAGATTACAATGCAGTGGATGAGAGTGTTGAAGTCCACCGAGTGATGATGAAATTGGAACCACTACTGGAAGCGTCGGGAAAGCGTAATTGGAGGAGCATCATGTTGACAGATGACGAGTTCCTCTGCCATTGCTTGCTACAAACATGGTGGTATCCCGGGCGTAGTAATCTGGTGTTGATCTGGTACTGTGGAGAGCTGCTCTCCATGGGTTTACCAGATTCATCACAGCCCATAACGATAGTAATAGTGGGAGTTATGATGGCAATAAGATGGCTGGAAGCTCATGTAAAAGAGAATATACGACAAGAAACGCCCACGAAAGAGCAATAGCAGGAATTGGATTGTCTAAAAGATTTAGATCTTTTTGAGACAACGTGCAAAATCTTGAAATTTCCGAAGGGCCAGAAGACGACTGATGGCATGGTTCAGAGCCAACATGACTGCATGGTTGTACGAGTATGCCAAGAAGCATATGTCGAAGCACATCAGAGTGTACAGTGCTTATCAGCTGGACATTGGAGCAGGAGCTTTCAAGCGAGCTTTTGTAGCTCATCGGAATGCAGTAACCACCGCAGTGAAGAGGACGTCTAGGACAAGTGAATACTACAGGAGATGAAGAGAAGAGATGTTGAAGGAAGACCTGGAGAGAAACGTGACGTTGTGCCTCCACAACAGCTTCTGCCGAAACAGAGAGACTAACGTTGATCCTCTGCCTTGTTGCAAACAAAGAGTAGAAGAGCAGAAGTGTTGGAGGACTGCCTCCAACAGCGTCAGAATAGCTACCGACGTGTTGCAAGACACTGAGACTGAAAGTGCGGGGTCAATGTCGCAGGATGATGAGATGGAACATTGACAAATGGCCGAAAAACAAGATGCAAAAAGAAGAAGAATTAGAAGAATTTAGAAATTTTATAACTTATAAACGACGAAAACGAAGAGTGAACAAAGAAAGAAACAAAGAAGCAACGAAGAAAAAGATGTTAAAACTCAGAATTATTCATGTGAAAAACTCAAATGAGAAACAAAGCAACTCAGTTTGTGATTGAAACTGAAGAGAAAACATTTTGTTGAATTTTGAAGATTTTGTTGCATTTATGAATTTGCATTGTGATTTTAGTTAGTGGCTTTAGAGACACTTACTATTTGATTAGAAAGGCTCGAGTGGAGAGTATATTAAATTTTCCAGCCTGCATGATTGTTTTTAATTAACTAAGACGACTGATCACTTTGTGCTGATATGAAAGGCTTGGGTAATATCTTGAAGAGGGAGTTTTTTTCATTGCTTCTTCTGACCACCGAGTTCCTTAATTTTAGACTTCAGGACCAATGACAACTAAATTTCCGAAGTGAAGAAGCATAGTAGGATAGTTTTAGTTTGTTGGTTGGCGGGACCGTCCTGCGTCCAAACATTTTTTAAACCTAGGAGAAAAAAATTTAAATCGGGATATAGATATTGGAAGTCAGAAAAAATGCTTTATCTTAAGTCATATCCTTGAAAATGCAGATTAGTGGAGGAATTTGTAAGGCTATAATGGTGTAGTATGACGCCATTTGTATTTTGCAGTGAAACGAGATGACGTGCAAAAAGGTGATTTCATGCATTTTGTTAATTCTGTTCGATGAAACTGTACTATTTTGATAAAGACTACGAGACTCAATGAGGAGATTGATCGGGCTGTCCGGGGAGTATGTGACATTTGACCAGAATGTACAAAAATGCAAAGTCGAATTCGAAATTTTTCTGCGACATCGGAGTGGGAAGATTAACGGTTTTAGCGAATTAGAGGTCTTAATCGTTCATTTCGACGAACACGGAAGGGTTAATTTGGAGTTTCAAATAAATAAAAATTCGTTCAGAAAGTAAGACACGTGACGACGTTGAAATTTCGCACCAACTGAAACAGCAAAAACACAACAACAACAACAACAACAACAGTATTCTCAACAAGAACAACGTTAAAATTAGACAGAAGATTCAGACGACAAATACGAACGAAAAGAAGATTGTTGTGACCCGCAACCATTCCGAGTTGTAACGATTGTGCCGCTACAATTGTTACAATCCGAATCCCGAGAACAAGGAAGGGTGTTGAGACGGCGTGTCCAGCCCTCCTGAAAGAAATAAGGACGTTATTTCCCCGAATTCCAGAATCCGGAGGGGTCTCGGGAGGAGACCCAAAACTGTATTTTAATAATTTTTAGCTTCCTGGAGATGTCCTGAATTGAATTAATAACTTCTAAATTCGTTTTCAGTTCATGATAAGCTAGGAGTTGAGGGAAAGTGTTGATCCATCTCAGATGGAGATGATGATTTTTATCTACTGAACAAAAACAATAGTAATATAACGTAAAATAACCTTCTTATTTGTAACACTATTATAGCCTCTGCACTGGACCTCCCTTACTTCCTTCTGATCTTCCTGAGTTAAGCGTCTTATCGTGTATCGTTATCACGATACGATAAGAGGCTTCGTATTTCTCGTGTTTTTCTTCAACTGATGTTCGTCATGTTATTTCGGTTGTCTGACTCAGTTCTTTTTTTGGTCAAAATGGCCTTTTTGTTCGTTTTTGTGAAAAATTCAAAATTCTAGAACATTCTGACCCTCCTTTTCATTACGAATTTGAGGCTAACGTCCTTAACGTCTATTTTTGTTTGCGTCGGCGGGTTCGACTGCCAATCCGGAGGAACGACACCGGTTTTTCATGAGTTGTCAAAATTTCGAAGCAACAGAGGTGCGTTATACGCTTGTAAAATTTAAATTTCGGCATGAAGTTACATGGTAACATAGCAGTATTTAGACAACCGCTTACCCGGAACAATAAATGACAAAATAACTTTCGACGAAATTTTTTATTTGTAACACTTGTATATAATATTTTCTCGTGTCGAGTTGCGTGTTATTGAAGAAACGTAACCCGTTTCGATTTTAATTGAAAAGGACTTCAACAATTGTCATCTTCTTTCATCATTATCACTTCCATATCTAGAAAATTCCAAGGATTTTGACTGGAATACGTGATGAAGGGACTCCTGATTGTAACCTCGGTTACTATGAAACTTTTGACCTTCTGATTACCTGCAAAAAATAGTAAAATAATAAATAAGTAGTAGCCCTGTTTTTATGAGGGACCTCGTGGTCTGGGGATACTGAGACCCAGCCATGAGCTCACTATTTCTGCATGTAATTAAGTCAATTAGAGCGTTCTGATCGAAGCCGGAAACAGTAACGTTTTTGTCGACCCGATGTTAGAAAGACCACCAAAAGAACTGGCTTTGGCAGAGACGGTGAAAAGCATGTAGAGCTGTGTTTAGACGCTAGTCAGTCGTTTTTAGAACCTAGCTTTATTTTCCTTCGATATGTACTTCCGGGCGAGTGTTATAGTCGCATGACGGAAGAGCCCATTTTAATTGACCTCCTTAATAGCAACTGTTTAAAATACACAATTAGTTAATGAACCGTTTTGGTTTAAGATTAAAATGGACGTCTATTTCCAGCTGCGACGACAAAAAGATACTCTCTTCACCGATTTAAAAGAAACAAATACTGTATTAGAACTAAAGAAAACTATTCAAGGGATTGTGAAAACCCCTGCGGATGATATAAGAGTTTTTAATATGAACGCCAAAGATGCCAAAAACGCATACCTGGAAGATGGTACAACTTTGAGAGATTGCGGCTTTGACGCAAATAATGCGAGACCTCAAGCACCAGCTGAGTTAGCTTATGTGTTCAGGCGGGGTGAAACTGATTGGGAAGATATTGATCTCGAGAAGTACAGTGACCCTCCTGAAATTCCGGAAGTAATGCGCGCGAATCCCACTGGAAACGCGGAGACTGGACCTAATGTCAACATGCAACAAATAGACGCACAGGCAATGGGATGATCTAACTATTCGGACTTAATTTTTGAGCTAACATAATTTCATTGTATATATCGATTTCTTGGTTCGTATCATAGAAAATTAATTGAAGTGTCGTTTTTAGTTATCGAATAAAATAGAAACCGCAGATATACAGTGATAGATAACATTCATGGTCCTTTCGTTTGATAAGTCTCCTGGTTGTTTATAGAAAAAGACTTTTTGTTCCGTAAATACAGTGTTTTGGGAAGATCCACTGTTTGCAGTCAGGAAGATACAGCTGAGAATTTTTGAAATAGTTGTTTTTTTCTTGAAATTTCTCATTTAATTTTATCAAGGGCATCTATAGAACAAGCTTTTGAAACAAGTTGTTTTTCAGCAGGCATAACACATCAAGCAAGCCTACAGCGAAATGAAAAATAATTAAAACCTTTCCAATAGTTTTTACAGATGAGTAAATTCAATCATTTTGTAGATGTTATGTTCATTGTGACTTTTGCTTTTTTACATGGATCAACCGGCTTTCAAAAACGACGACGAATCTGTTAGTTTTACCGATCAAGCGTCTTTTGAAACCTTTCTTATTCAGTTTACAGCTTCCAGTCCTGGTGCTTACAGAGTCAATCAAAATGGTGCTGAGAATGTTTGTGCGGAGTCTAATAAGGTCCCAGAACCAACATCGCCAGACCAAAATTATGGAGCGGACGAATGGGAAAGTTTTTTAGCAGGGATTATTGCACAAAGCCCAGTTGAGGCAAACCGTAATATAGCTCACGCACCCACTTCATCGACAGTAGAATCATGCAAATCTCCTACAAACGATCTTTTCGAGACATTTGCAGCTGGAAGCGCGGGTAATGAAGGTATTGTAAATATGACTTCAGCAACAGTAAAAACTCAGAATTCCGCCGTAGATTTAGGATCCGGTGACGGAAATGTGGGTTTCAATGAATTGCTTTCTATGCTAAATGATTTTGAGTCCAAAGCAGCGGAGACACCTTCGTTGAAAAGTCAACTGTCAGATTTCGAAGGTTCAACAAATCAATTGTCGGAATTCAATTTTACTTTATTGAAGGAAGAAGAAATTAAATCGCCTTTAGAATGTTTAGAAAATTCTCCAAGTGCTATATCTCCTCTAAGTCCAGGAAGTGAAATTGGAAACAATGTTTGCTTATCGTCTCGAAAGATTAAAAGAATAAAGCCAACCGGAAATAAGGTGCCACTAAATTCAGAGGTCAACCCATTGTCTGAATCACTTACTTCTTTAGAGATATCTACTAGTAGCCGGCCTGGGATTTTAGACGTTGCTGTCGATCTAAACGAAAATATTCTTAAAGTTGTGGCGCCGTTACAAGCTAAAGATCCTGCATTAAGTTTGAAGTCGCCAATTGAGACAAGACCAGCGTTTGAAAGTTCAAATGGAATGACAGCAGAGGTGAAATTTTATTTTAAAAAAATTTTGGCGTTCAATTTGATTTGGTTTTTGCCGAAAAATTAACTAATTTGATTTTCAAAATGGTATTTTTGTTAGTGCGATCATTGCGTCGAAGAAAGCAAGTTTCCAGAGTTGATGCTTCTTGTCTAAATTCCTAAATTTGTTTGCTTCAGAACATAAAAAATGTACGTAATGGACATTTTATAGTCCATAAACGCGGGGTGGTTAGCAGCCGTGGTCAAGTGGGTTAGGCACATACATGTCTCTCATCACGAGGGTCTTGCGTTCGAATCCTGCTTGGTCACGGTTGGAGGGGTCCCATTGTCATCCGCCTCCTTAAGGTGGGACCGGCTGAGGCGAAATGTTCCTCCCCCACGGTGGGTCTTGCACTGAGCAGGCTGGGGGCTAATAATAAAAAACATAGATCAGAATTTTTTATAGGTCATTTAAATGGTACCAATGAACAAACCGACTGCTCTTCTATGTGCCTGCATATTTCGCTTGTCTCTTTTCACTTACCATACATTCTACGCCCTTCGAAATTTTCAGTAAGGGGTTTTTGACCTATTTGTTTTGAAATCGGTTATTTTATTCAAATATTAAGTGCATTTGTCTGAGATGAAGGTTTCAATCAAAAGAAAAAATAATGGGGATCTCCCCTCCTCAAGCACTTGTTCCCTAAATTGCATAGAAGAAAAGTTTGACATTTTGGTTAATTTGAAAACTTTTATTAAAAACTACCCTGTCAAATCGGAGATTAAGGGTTTAACTGAAAGAAAAAACCAGTGATGTGAATCTTCCTTGCGCCGGCGGCTATGTTCTGCTTTTAGTCAATTTTTTAATTGTTTTTTGGATTCTTTTTCACTCTTTCGAAAACTACCCAGCCTCATTTGAGATGAAAAAATTCAATTGAAAGAGCGAGTAGTCTTTTTCTCGTTCAAATAAGCAGATAATCTCGTACTTAAGCAGAGCAATTTCTAGGGTTTTGTGTAAAGTCTATTTTTTGAAGTTTACACATTTCCTTACCAGTACAATATATGATTAAAATTATTAAAACAGGTAAATCCAGCTTTAGCTCGGCCACTAGTTTACTCCGTTTTGCATTTTCTTTGCTTATATTTGCGAAGCACAGCTTCGCTTCTGTGTTAAAGGAAGGTAAACTCCACTATTGAATATCGAAAGATACAAGGCCACGAAAAACGCGATTGACTTCTAGCTTCGAAGGTGGAATTTAAATTTCAGATTTCCCAGCGAATTTAAAACTACTTATTGATTCAATTGTTGGCTTAATGGTGTTCTTGTTGGCTTAAGGGTGTTCTCCCGAACGATTCTAATTTGTATTTATAAATTTTTATAAATAACTTTGTAACTAGATATCGTTTGGAAACAATTTATTATTATTATTATTATTAATTTTCTCAAGCTGGGTTAGTTTTGTCAAAAAATGCCAATCATAAATTGTTCTAGAAGTTCAAAGAGATTTAAAGGTATTTATTTTTTTTAAATGGGAAAGTTGAGATTTTTTCAATAAACAAGTTTACTTGCGTTCATTAACTCTTCCTTCCAACTGCTTGTTGGCATGTACTACATTTATAACAGAAAAAAGCGGACTGAATATGGGACTAATTGAGTTATTTTCACACAGAAATTCACACTGAAATTAATTTTTTGGGTTATTATTTTGTGAATTTTGGTGTTCCACATTCGTTGGAGAATCTGGCGCTTCATTCATATAATGGAAACTAACCTCAATATAAACATGAGCTATTTCCCATCATAACGCTTCTTCTGATTTAGAAGGTGATTCCTGTCAATCCTGTCCAGAGCCGAAGAGTACGTGGGAAAACGAAGCAAAAACCAGTCGAGGCCACCAAAAAAATTTCTAAGCTGTATTCAAGAGATGCACTCATTAAAATTGCGACGGATAACCAGAACTCCTCGAAATGCACGATTCATGCTCCGTCATTTGATTTTCTGACGTCAGATTTAGTGGAGGAACTCGAAGCTGGTTTGGAGGTTGAGTGGAATTTAAGACCAATCACAGTCTTAGAACAAGAGTTCAAACCGTGGCCAGAGAGGAAGCAACATCCGCGACCGGTTGATGACTACTCAATGAACAACCGAGCCTACTTACAGCGACCATAAACATTCTACTGTAAATTTAGGTATAAAGAAACTTGTATTTCAGTTGATTTTACAATAATGTAAAATTGTAAATTACTTTTCTGTTAATACAGATTATTGGCATTGCTTTCTCAATTGAAAAGAAAAAACGAAGGAAAATTCAAGAAGTTATCAATAAGAAAATTTTCTTCTATAAACTTGGTTGACTACAAATGTTATCTTGCGAATTAACAATTTAGAATTCTCTATGCAAATCGCTGAATAAAGCAGATTGTTTGTAGACTGCGCTTGGTTTACTTGTGTGGTTTTTTCTAGCTATGGTTGCCGACTATTGAGTGTTTTGTTCCAAGAAAGTATAGGTACCACAAAGAAACATCAGATGAGGTCGAGTGCGATATATTATCAAAGCTATAGCACATTAGAGCTGCTAAGAAAATTTTGCGTTTTTTGGATGTCAATAAAAATCGTCTGAATTTTATGCTTTTCAAATCTAGTTACATCATCGTTCAATTAGGACGTTCATTTAGCGCTAGTGTCAGGCACTTTAGTCAATAAAAATTTAATTGACTACTGATTGCGAACAGCGCTCTCTTATTACAAAAGTATAAACGGCTCGAGAAAATGACTTAGTTCGGAAAAGGAATTTTAATAGTGAGATTTCCCAGCAGAATGGAAAACTTTTTTAATGCAGTTTTCTCAGATTAATTCAATTTTGTGGAACAAGATCAATTATAGAATTTTCTTTAATTTCGTGAGCTTTGATGGAATTTGTTTTTTCCTAGGTTTTAATTTGAAAAATAAATAAAAAATAAATCAGTCGTTTTTTTTTTAATTCCCTGAGTTCATAAACATTTTTTCAAGTCGCTGTTGGATGTGTTGGTTACAGTGTGACGTCCCTGCTTGACGTCGTGAATTTGATTTGGCATTTTGATATAAATGAATATGTAATTCACCTTGAAATGAGACTGGAGCTCAAACTTGTATTTACTTAACTATGTGAACATTGATAAGTAACTCTACCAACTATTAGTGAGATTTAACGAAGCTGTAAAACAACTGACCAGAATAGAGAGAATAATTTATATCAATCATACTCTGACGTGCTCCGATCGATGAGATATAATCTGGAGGAATACGCGGACCCAAGCATCCCTCAGTTTAAGATATGCCTAACTGCTCGAAATATTTAGAACAATAATAAACACTGATAGTCGGTAGCGCTAATTAATAACATAACAGCTCAAGAACAACCTACCACTAGGCAAATTATCAGACAGGAAAGACTGTATATGACATGATGATATAAGTGTGAAACTCTGTTTCTGGATTCACAACAAGTCGACGGCAGCTGAAGACTACACCACATAAGAGCGGAACTTGACAACAGATGCGTGCTGAAGCTGAAAAGAGCAAAACAAACTGTTTCGCGCAGCAAGGCTCAGATGTGGGTAGCAGAGCAACAATCAATGATCAGCTGAGACAGACAAGTTAGAAAGAAGAAAACTACTACTTGTCATCAACCCTGTTCGACAAATTTTTTCCAACTTGAAGAAGAGCAGATGCAGATTGTGACCTACAACATCGCTACTTCTGGTTGCAGAAAGATGGTTTGTTTAGTGAGCTATTGACCCAGCAGAAAAAGAAGTAGATTATAGGTATCCAACGACAAAACACTTAGCTCAAAATAACTCAAAACTTTCACAAGTGTTACCCGAAGTGCTTGAAAAAACTCTCCTAAATGGCTGAGCACAATAATTTAAGGTCCGTTTTTGAAAAATGAATTGTGGCAATTGATTAAAGAACAAAAAAATTGGACCTCGATTAAAAACAAGATAACACCGCTTCCATCATACCGGCTCGCTTGTGTCCTGTGCTCCTGAAGCTCAGGGATGCTCATAAAATTCACAATGAACAAATGAAAAGCAATCACGATGAACAGAACAGAAAAAAATGGAGTGAAAACCCGATTCCCAGCAGCCAATTGAAGCTTCTGGCATAACTCACTTGAGGCTGCTCTCAATCAACCTCTAACTCGAACCAGTAACTGATGCTTCTATTAGTAGATACAAGTTTTTAGTTGATATAACAGTTCTCGCAAAAGAAGATGAACGCAAAAGAAGCGAAAACATCAAAAGTGTGCATTACTGATTCAATGAAAACCGTGTCAAGGAAAACCGTTTTTTCTTTCTAGAATTAAGAAACCTTTGGTGCAGGAACCCCCATGAGAAAGGCCAGCGAAGGCAGTAGAATGCTTTCCAACATGGCCTGTTATCTGGTATCAGTCTCGGACAAGTAGATTTTAATGCATCCATACCAGGTCTAATTTTGGGCTAAACTAGAACGTTTTTCTTTGATTATGTCTGATTTTTTTTTGCTTGCGACTAGCAAGCCTTATCAAATCGGAACATAGATGTTTTGCCGGCGAACCACTGAAGTATTTCATATTTCATCAATCTTTTTGTTAGCTTTGTTTTGGCAGCTAACAGAGGTGGTATGAGCATTTTTTAAGTTTAAATACTCGTTCAATTGGAAATTTGTTGTTTTTTGCTGATGATAAGTCTAGCTAATCTGATTTTGTATTAATTAGGTCATTTTGGTCCATTAGGTCATTTAGGTCCATTTTGAGGAGTCCGGTTGTCGGTTTATAAAGAGCAAAGTCTTACACGTGAGTGTGCTTCGAGCTGAGGGGGGGGGGGCTTAGTTTCAAAGTGTTCTAGTAGCACTAGCAGGCGTTTTTTTCTTCTTCATTGGTGGCTGGCTCGTGGAGGGCATTAAGATGCTATCGTATTGTCGTGAAGTTATTAGACTACAGCTCTTGAGATCGGTGTTCTAATTACCAAGGGGCAATTCCTTTTTCTTTGTCAATGCTTATTTTACGTATGTGTTCTCTGTTGGATTTCAGTGTGCTTTGTTTTATTTATTTACTTGTTTCTCCTGGTTGGTTTGTGAGTGGGGGCTAGGAAATTAGACGACTCCAATAAAACGGAATTGAGAGTTTAATTTTTTTTTGCAAAACTAGCATTTAAGACGGAAAGCGAAGGGCTAACAAAATTTATTGTTTAAAACAAAACTGCACAAATATACATGAAGACTATATTATCCCATTGCATGTAAAAGTTTTTATCATAAATGATTTAAAAATCATTAATCCAAATATTATAAACTATTTTTGAAATGCATAAATTGAACAATTGCCTCATTTCAAAATTGGCTTGTATTTTAGCATGCTGCAACGAAAGTTATTTGTAGTCGGTTAACAAATTTCAGACGCGAACAATACAATTACGTCTAATATCCCATAATTGTAGTTTTAAATTCATTTTTTCTGGTCACGTCTAATTTGCTTGTCTAATTTCCTAGGCCCCTTTGTGTGTATATCTGAACTTGTTTTTTTTTAAATCTCGAGCTGATCAATATTATTTTAAACGATCTATTTTTTCTTTTTCTGATATAAGGTTTCCTATGTTCAGGAGATAAATCAAATAGAATGAATTTTGGATCCATTCGCAGAGCTGTGTTCCAAGAAGTTTTCTAAAAGTAGATTTTCTTCCCTAAAGTTTTTGGCCCAGGAAAAAAATCGATTCTTTTGCTGTGTTGTTTTTATATCCTGCTTATAGTTAATTTGACCTCTTTTGACCACCGTTGTTTGAATCCACTGTTGTTGGAGCATTTTTAATTACCCCTGTTAAGAGTTAAACGCAAAATTTTTCGGTTGTGTTCGTGGGTTTTTATTGTGTTCTCAGGCAAAACACGTATCATGGTGGGTCCCAAACATATGACTTTTTGTTTGAGACTCGTCGATATATAACCACTTTATTATCGCTCCCTCTTTAGGAATGAAGAAAAATTTTGATCAGGTTTTTTCAAACCAGGCTCGTCTATACCAAAGAGACTCATTCATTGAAGTTTCGAAATCAAAAGAGAGTAACCAGAATAAAGTTAATTCTTACAAAAATGGCCGCTGTTTTCGGGTTCTAAAAGTATATTAAGCTGTTCCAAGTTTTTTTAGAAAACCGCAAATTTTGTGAAAACATTTTTGAGTTGCGTTTGAATGAAAAGGCCGCCCGGTGAATGACAAGGCGACGGGTCTGATCTGGACAGAAAACTTAATAATGAGCAAAACAAACAAAATGAAGGTATTTTGGAGGTTAATTGAACGAATTATATTGTAAAAAGATAATTGTTTCACAGCATGCGTGCCTACATATCGAATGAAAACAAGACTGACTGCAGAAGTAAATAGTGATTCAATAATTGGCTAACAATTTTTTTGAGTTTGGTGCCTTGCTTCTGTTTTGTTTGGCTTACTGCCTCTCATGTTTGCCTAATAAGTTCACTGTCTGAATTATATCCGTCTCCTTTTCATTCACCAGGAGCCAGGTCTAAAAACGAATCCGTTTCAGATTTTCAGATGCCCATGGGGGGCCTAGGACATAAGACGTCAAGCAAATATGACTGTAAAATAACTTTTTTTAGTAGATAACTCTTTGTGAGTTTAGAGTATAAAAACTGGGCCAACAGATTTTTTTGTTAAGAATGAAGTTACACAAAAACCAAAAAAAAGTGTTTGTCCCGTAAACAACTTTTCTTACAAATTCTTCTTTTTTATCAATTTCTTCTCTCTTAACATCTTGCAGGTTTCTTCCCACTAACGCCGTCTTCTTTGCACTTCACAGTTTGGGGTTCGAGTCTCGGCCGTACATTGTTTTTTTCAATTGAAATAAAATTGATTTTTTTTTTGGAGTTTCATTTGTCTGCCCAATTTTTGCCGGCTAAGTCGCCACATCACAGATTTTGCTTGTGCTGTAGGCAATCTTTATTGCAGTTTCAGGTGGGACTTTTATAAAAATCATATCTTCTCGGATCAATTTTTGTCTGCTGAAAGACTGTCGGCCTTGTTTCATTTTAAGTTGTGTTCCGTTGCTAATTTAATATTCAAATGTCTGGCATGTTTGCCTAGAATAAACTTCTATCGAGGCGTAGGTAAATTTAAAGTTTACTTGATAATTGTCATTCTTCAGTGTTTGTAGATGGTCGATCAATCGAGTTAACTTGTGATCTATTCTAAATGAGCTCTCTGTCTGTTCTTTTTGTCTGTCATGGAAACATATGTCGGTCCACTATGGCACAGCAGTACCTTACTCAGATGGTGCTTAAAGCGCCTGAAGACTCTTCCTTGAAGAAGTTTACAAGTATCGACAGTTGTGGGACTGGAGACGATGACCTTGGAAATCAGCCGGACCCTGGAACTCAGACTGTGCTCAAAAATCACGGGATGCCGCCTTTGTCGCACGTAGCACGAATGTTTGTGTAAGTCAGCTGTTCTTTGCAAAGGTTCAAACGGCTGGTGGGAATGTCTAGGATTGTGTTCAAAAGTTCGTAGAGAGCACAAGTTTTAATCCTCATAAGTGGGAATTACTCATACGTGAAGGACCGAATGCGCGAAATTTTATCAACCAATCAGCTGTGTTCAAAAGTTCGAAAAATATAATGCGATAAATTGATTGGTAAAATTATTGGATTTAAGCGCATTCGGTCCATCGCGCATGACAATAACCCTCCCCCCCCCCCATAAATCAGCGATTAGATTTGTTACTCTATTCAAATGATGTAAATCCGACGAGCAATTGCCAATTTTACTGTTTTAACTTGGTTTATCAATGAAATAAACCTTACGTAACACAAAATTGATTGATTGGCGATAAGAATTCAATGAAATTTCTGAACTCTTTTGCTTTTCAGACCTGAAACCGACAGCCAGTTTGATTACATCCTGTGTATGGACAACTACGTTATGAGAAGCGTGAAAAAGTATCTTAGAAACACCAAGACTTCTGCGAATATTGAACTCCTTGGAAAATATGACCCTAAAGGTGTTGAAGAAGTGTTCAACCCTTGGATGTACCCTGTTAGTGAGTTTGAGAAGGTCTATCAACACATATCGAGGTCAATAGACGAATTTGTAAAAAGTGTATAATTTCATCAATTTATTCGCTCAAATCGAAAGTTTAAGTTATTGTCTATACGAATTAATTGTTTTACCATTTTCTTTGCGAAAACAACGATTACTCAATTGCCACTTGACAGAAGCGAAGGTCTATAACATTTTTAAATTGAGGATATCTGCGCTTGTAGGTGATTTTTAATAAGAGCTCCGAGGCCTCATGAAATATGTTTAGTGAGGTAGTTAGAAATAGAAGAGAGGTGGCCCTTTTTGGAGACGCATGCAACAATATTGCGTGCTTCAAAAAATCATCGTCTGCTGCATTTTCTACCACGATATAAAAAGCGTGTGGATGGTTGTTGTGCAGACAATAAGTTAACGATACATCCTTCTTTGAAAGAAAGAAAAAGAAAAGAATAAATTAAGATAGAAACACATCTATCTTACACGTGATAGAACAAAAGCAAACAAAAGTTTATAGAAAGTTTTTGTTTCTTAAGGCTCTGGCTGGAAAAAGCTTGAAATGTTTTTCTAATTTTTCGTGTGCTGCAACTGCTTTTTCTCTAAGTCTGTTTTCTGCATAAGTTTCTCGTTTTGGCAATTTTGAATGAAGAATATGGTCTTGTTTTGAACTTGACTGTAATAGTTTGTTGTCATGGTTCTCTATGAGCTCGAAAATTGGAGTAAATGTAGAAGTAACACCAAGTTTAAGAGCCCTGCGCTGAACTTTGTCCACATCGGCCAATTCGGTCGAATTGGCACATGCCCATACCGGTAATGCGTAAGTAATTTTACTCTGCACCAAAATTTTGTATAAAATATCAAGGGCAGAGATGTTCATACCAAATGTCTTTAGTCTATACAAAAGGTATATACTGCTGGTTACTTTTTTGCATAAACTTTTGATGTGCGATGAAAACGTAAGCCTGCTATCAAATAATACTCCGATAATTTTAAGCTCTTCCACTTGCTCAATACCATCAAAAGCTTGTGGTACTAAACTAATGTCATTCGGTTTGACAGTCATCAGTTTTGTTTTTCCCTCGTTGAGTATGAAGTTATTTGTGGAGCACCAAGTTTTAATTTCCTCCAAAACTTTCATCGTGTTTTCGACCGAGCCAAACCCCGCTATCACAGAGTTTGCATCGTCCGCAAACTTTATAATTCTAGCACTGTTTGTACTCTCCAAATCCAAATCATAGCTTACTGTATTGAAAAGCGGCGGGCAAAGAACTGTTCCCTGAGGAACACCTTGGTTAATGCATAGCAAGTTCGAACGCTGAGAATTACTTTCCGTGAAAATTTTTCTGTCCTGAAGAAAATTTGCGATCCAATTGATTATGAATGGATTGATTTCCGGTCTAACTGATTGTAGCTTATCAATTATAATTGAATGCTGGGCTCTATCAAATGCTTTACTAAGGTCTATTGATAGTATCTGTATATAATCAGCTTTACTTTTCTGAAAAGAAGCAATTTCTTGCTGAAGACAAATCATAGCCGTTGTGGTAGACGCTGAATTTCTGAAACCGTGTTGGTTTTTAGGTAACCAGCTGTTGTACTGTGCTGAGATGAAGTTTTTCATAATAATTCTTTCGAAGAACCGAGAGATTACTGGGGTGATTGAGATGGGTCGATAGTCCTCAGGGCCCATAGGGGCTTTGCATTTGGCGATCGGAACTATTTTTGCAGTTTTCAGGAGTGAGGGGACTTTGGTTTGCAATATTGACAAGTTCAATATCTTTAACACTGGTTCTGCAAGCGAATGAGCGTTCTCCTTCCAGACCCAATACGGAATCTGGTCGGGTCCGGCAGCAGTTTGTTTTAATCGTTTGAGCTGGGAGTATATTTGCTGTAGTGAGACCTCTGGGGAGTCATAACCTGATACGTTACATACATGCGGCTCAATATACTCCGTAGAAGTACAAATGTCCGCAAAGTATTGATTCAGCTCGTCAGGTTCGTGGTTTGCTGTAGAAGTTAAGTTTTTTCGGCCTGTTAAATAGTTCACTTCTTGCCACCAAGATTTGGTTCCACGTTTACTTTTTGTGAGATTCTTCTTTATCTCCATTTTGATAGCATTTTCTACTTCGGTTGAAATTCTGTCTTTTTTCTTCATGCGGTACTTTTTCTTGAGAAGCGATTTCAGCAGAGGAGTCATGTAATTGGGGTCTCTAGCTGAAAGACGCACAGTTTTTATAGGACAGGTAACATCTAGAAGTTCAAGTAACAAGTTATTTAACTGGGTAAAGGCTAAGTCTGGGCAAGAGTAATCAATAAGGGACATATCTACTCGGTCCAAAGTGATACCAAATACTTCTCTGTTAGCAAAACTTGCTTTTCTGAATGATGCGTGGTATCTTTCTGTTTTTTCTTGTAAGGGCTCACAGTAAACCGCTAAGTGATCTGTCGACAAATAGCAGTTTATGACGCTGGTTGGTTTGTAAAGCTCTGGTTTTGAGCAAAGAACTTTGTCCAGAATTTTTTCAAACCGAGTTGGATTTTTGTTAATTTGTACAAGGTCGCTAAAGTCGGTCAAGAGGTCACTGTTGAAGTTATTCAAATCTCCAGCAACGAGAAATGTGCAGGCTGGATTTTTTCTAAGTACTATTTCTCTTTTATCCAGTATATATTCAGCGAGTTGTATGTCACAGTTTGAGTCAGGCGGGTAATAAATACAGCCAACAAAAAAGTTTCGTTCATTCAGTACACAGTTGAGCCATAAAGTTTCCGAAAATGATTGATGCGAAGAGTCTTCAAACAATATACATTCAGTTTGTAATGATTTTAATGCGTAAATACACACACCCCCAGCTCTAGTTTTGGAAGTAGCATTGAAGTTTCTGTCAGATCTGAAAAGATCATAACCTTTTATATTCAGTGAGTCCGATAAAATAGAGTCATTTAGCCAAGTTTCGGTAATTAAACATAAATCAGGTTTCAGTTGATTGAGATCCAATATGAGGCTAGATATTCCATTTTCTTTTTTCAATGATCTTGCATTTATTAATAAAACAGACGGAGCCGGAGGACGTGCTAGTCAGACAGGGACAACAACCCCATCAACAAGTAATTTGAGATTACGAATTTTGATGGAATTTTTGTCTGTTCCAGTATTTATTAGTTCTCGTCTTTTTTTGAGGACTTTTCTTTCTTCAAGACGTTCTTCGCGGGTTAGATCAGGGGAAATGTAAACATTATTTTTCGTTCCAAACTTATCCAGAATTGCTTTGGATACAAGTAATTCGGCATCTGTTCTTGACGTTAATTCCACAATTAGTGTTCTGTCTTTATCCGGGTCGTATTTACCTGCTCGAATAACACCATTTATTCTAAGTTCTTCGAAACCCAATTTCAATGCTATGTTTTTGACTTTTTTGATGTCGTCAGTTTTCCGTTTGTAAACGTTGTCTTCAGAGCTCTCAGGCAAGCCGCTCACTCTGATGGATTTTTTTGTGACTTCAGACATAGATTGTTGAACAACATTGTTTGGGGTCACAACAGTTTCTTTTTCAGTTTTCATTTCCGTGAGTTGATCTTTGACTTCGTTCAGTTGCTTGGATATTTCTTCGAATTTTTTCTGAAACAGTAATGGTGCTTCGTTGTTTCGGTTATGTGATTCTATGATGCATGGTTCACATCTCCACATGAGTCCTTTGACACTACCGAGATAAGTCACAACCGGGGCTGGAACCCCTGAACACAGTTGATGAAAACACTTGAAGCACCCTGAACATTGTAAGGTATTCAAATTGCACTCATCACCACAAGAGCCACATGGATATTTCGGTGTCTTTTTCTTGTTTGGCATAGTCGATAACTTCCAGTTCCAAAATGATATAATCGTTTGTAGTTCTGTTGTCGATGATAAGTTGGAGCGCACCCCGGCGCGCTCAGCAATTCATTGATCTGGAAACACTATTTAATAAGTTTATCATTCAGAATTTTTTATAAAAAAAAAACAGTGTATTCCAAAAGAATTCACATTGGCTGGTGAAAATTTAGAATATGAATCGACTTTCAAGTACCTCGGAGTCATTTCAGCAAATCAAGAAGTTTGATGCAAACTAAGAACGTTTAATAGAGTTATGTATCGTGCGCGATTTTCTTGAAATTAAAACGTTTCTCTAGATATCATCTTATACAATTCTATTCTGCCTATGTAATTCCGGTAATATCATACTGTCTTATTGTTCTTACGGATGTTGCGCAAAAAGCATGGTCGGTTAAATTTGTTTTAGTACAGAAAAAGACATTTTGATCAAGTTCTCTTATAAATTTTAAGACAATAGAAAAAAGAATCACCTTTAAATTTTGTGTATTTGTACAGACCAGACCCATGACTGCAAGAAAATTTAGAGCAAAAGGGTTATTATTTTTATCTGCTGTCAAAACCACGAAAATGAAAAACTCGGTTTCAATGAAAATAATGAATGAGTTCAATTTTTTGTTCGATAACAATATGATTCCCTAAGTTCTTTTCTCAATGACAAGTTGAGTTCTTTTTTTTTTAGAAATTTTTCAAGCTTTATCCTTGCGATAGTGGAAGGATGTTTTCTGTTTTATTATCAGTAACTTCCTTTTCAGTGCCGTTCATTGTACTCTAGGTGACCTTGAGGGATGCTACTTGAAGGTTGAATAACCAGTATGGCATTCCTGATGTAGAGTTTGTAATTGAACTGATATATGCTAATGTATCTTCAAAACGTTTGTCTAAATCGAAGTTCCAATTCAAAGTTGAAGTCAAAGCCAATTTGAAGTCCTAGTAGTTTTTTTTAGATATAGTTCAGGTTTTGGGCATTTTTGTTTTCGGTCAAAGTTAATTCAACGTGCTGAATTTGTATTTTCTCGCAGTTCAGAAGACCTGAGTTTCAGTTGGCCTAGCCGATTTTAATGAGTGTTTATTTTCAAAACTATTAGATACTACCCCCAAAAGATGATTGTGTTAAATTTTTTTAAATTTTCTTTAAAAGTTTGTATCCGATATTTTACCTCTTTGTTTGGTTTTGAATTGCTTAAATTCAATATACGTGGGTCAAGAGATAAAATGAATCATTTTTTGTTGAAAATTAATCAAACGGTTGAGTTTTTTCATGTTTTAATAATAGTTTTGCTCAGTAATATCAAAGTTGTTTGATGTATATGAATATTTTACTTTTTTGTTTGTTTTTCCGGTTAAAAAATTTAATCGGCCCAACATATCCGCTTATTGACTTAATTTTGTTTCCAGAAACACAAAAGGCTGAAAATTTTAGAATGCAATTTATAGTTCAAAGTTTTTCATCAATATGACAACAAAGAAAGAAGGATCAACCGAAAATATTACATATTTTGAAATTTTTAAGTTGTGCTTTTTCGAAGTTTTTTCATTTTTTTTTGGCCTAGCTTTTCTGTCTGCTAGCTTGCAATGTTGTTTCTATGTGGCATCTCGAATGGTCAGAAGCTCTGTCAGGCCTCTGTGTTATTGGGTTATTAAGTGTATTTACCCTTGCGATAAGCAAGGGTATTGCAATCGGGCACTAGACTTTTCCCGTAAATACCTTGTTCTCAGTACTCATCTGGACTCCTGGTGGTACCTTGGTTGACAGTGAATTCAAATTTCTTAGTGTCTCCTGCACGCGTAGCATGTAGCTAACGAAACGCCTGGGAAGGCAAGGGTCCTGGGTTCGAAACTGACTAAACGGTAATTTTTCCGGTTCAAAATAATTTCGGCCTGTTTTTTGTCTGTTATGTTTTCGTGGCTTAGTCTAGCCACTTCTTAGTTAGGGTTCCACATCTAAGAATCTTTTTTTTTTGTGTGTAAATAATTTTCATTGTAGTTGTTTTTAGAGTTTCATCATGTTAAAAATCTGGATGAATCGGAATTTGTTTTCTTTATATTAGCTGTAATTTTTTGACAACTCGATTTGTAATTTTTTTTTTCATTTGTCTTTTTTTTTCGGCTGAATTAGTTTCGGCTTAGTTTATATCGAGCTAATGCCCTCTTTTTTGCGTCGTTTAGGGATCGAAAAAGTTTTTGTGTGCGAGCGTGTGTTCTCAGGGGAAGAGACAATTTTTTTCATTGGTTGAGAATTTTTTCGGCATGAAAGGTTTTCTGCTCAGGTATTTTCGGCTTTGTTACCGCTTGGAAGTTATAAATCGAATTCAAGCAACCATCCGGTGCATCTGGCATAGAGGTAACACAAATGTTTGAGACCGCAAAGGGTTGCTGTTCGAATATGACCAGGACCTGTTTTTTTGTATGCTAGAATTTTTGTTCTTTTTTGGGCTATCGTCCATCTGTCTATTTTTTGTCGGCTTAATTCCCGTAGCCCGACTTTTGTGAAGGTCCAGCTTTCTTCCAAGTTGCTGTTAATCTGGATGTTTTGGGCTTTTGTTACAGTTTTTTACTGGCAACAACGATTTTTTGAAGTTTTTTTTTTTAATTTGAATAGTTTGATTGTCATCATAGTCATTCATATTTGTATCGCAAGTGGTGGGAAGCTCAGCTTCGCCTCTGTGTCATGTTTTGCGTTGATCCTTGTATCTTTGTTGTTGTCCCGATTCTCATTTGTTTTCAAGAGTTGAGTACCAGTCAGATTTATCCAAACAATATAGTCGATATTAGAACAGTCGGGTTTGCAGAAAATCTTAGTACCAACATTTTAGTTTATAAAAGGTTGTATGAAATAGTAATTTTAAAATTGAATAATTGCTGAATTTGTTGTAAAAGCGATTTTTTTTACCGTTGAAGTTAAAGCATTAGAACCCAACATTCTCCCAAGCCATCTAGTACCGAAGTTGTTCGATTCTTACAGTCAAATCCTGATTTGAGTAAAAGTTGAGCGGTAGAAATAATCTAATGAAAATTAATTGAATGAATGTAGGTAATCAAATTGTCAGTGACACTGTCTGCCCCCATATTCAGGATGCTGCAAATCGAAAAGTTTTTAACTGTGTTGAGTGAAACGAAGTAGAAAGTAGTTTTTTGTTTATGATGTATTTTTTTCGTCCTAAGAATTTTTTTTCGAAATATAGTTAAAGTGATGATTGAGAGGATAACTTAAAATCGTCTATGAAACAGGTGCTTCTGGTCATATTGTCGATAATCATAAGCTCGATTAATCAAACAATTATTGCTAAGTAATTGAATTGGATAACAACAATTATTCTGATTCAAGAGAAACTTTGGGCATCATGTGAATTAACGAGGAATTAAAACAGTCGATCTTGCTGTAGCCGCAAGCAATTTTTTGTTAATACAAGATTAGACGTGAAAGTCAACGGATGAAACCGACAATGGTGAAGCAGATTAAACTCATGTTTCTACAACTGGAGGTTTCAATGATGTAGGAATCCCCACCAGGCCGCGAGGATCAGATATGACAAGAGCTTGTGCCAGTCGATTTGCAACGAAAATTTTGTGACAAAATTCTAGGGGCTTGAGCTAAAGCAAGACTGTTGTACTATCTGTTCTTATTTATTGACTAAATATATCTGAATGCAAGCAATTTTACTTGTAGTTGCTTTTAGTGTTTCGATTTACCTGCAATTCGTAATTTTAGTTGCCGTGAATTTATATACTCATCTTTTTTGTGCTTTTCTCACCTTTGAATTGCGCAAACTGCTGGAATTCTTCGAGGAGAGTCTATATTTCATTACAACAGTTAGTTTTATTCCAAAAATTTTGTTTTCGGTTTTTAGGGAACATATCAAATTTTTGCAAACTCATTTGCTGCTCGGTAATTGAATCTCAGTTTTCAGTAAACGCCGTCAATCGAGCTTCTGGTCGCGTTTCCGGCAAATATAACATCATTCCAGGCCTGTTTTCCTTTTTTGGATTTAAAACTTCCCTTTTCCTTTCCTGTCTGCTAGCTTGGAAGCTATTTTTTGTGGTCTAGCAAGAGCTGAGAACATTCGCTTTGTCTCTCTGTTTTTTTATTATAATGTTTATTCATAGTTTTCATTGATCTTGTTTTCTTTGTTTTTTCGTCTTGATTCTCATATTTTCAGATTTTGGTATCAGTCAGACTTGTCCAAGCAAAACAGTCACTGTTAGAACAGATCAAATCGTAGGGCTCGCAAAAAAACTAGAGACAAGCTGGAAGTTTTTAAAGGGGTTTATAAAATGGTAGTTATAAATTGAATGGTATGTAAAAGTGATATAGTTTAATCGTTGAGAAGTTTAATCGTTAGAACGCAACACACTCTCAAGCCTTTTAGAACCGAAATTGTTCGATTCTTGTAGTCAAATCCTGATTTGACTATAAGTCAAGCGGTAAAGTAACAGAAAAATGACTAAATAAAAGTAAGTAGGCAATCAAAATTTCCGTGACATTGCTTGCCCCATTTGCAAGAAGATGCAAAAGAAAACATCTTAACTTTGTCGAGTGAAAGGAAGTAGAAGGCAGTTTTCTGTTCATGATAAAATTTGCGGCCATATGAATTGAAAATTTTAAGTAAAGAGTTATGATTGAGAGGGCTACACTAAATTATCTAATTAGTGTAACTAATACTGATCTAAAAAGCTACTGATCTAATTGCCGATTATCATAAGCTCGATTATTCAAACAGTTGCGTACTAGATAAATTGGGTAGCTGGATAGCAACATTCATTTAACCTTCGAGAAAATTTTTGCTCATGTGAATTGACAAGGAACTGAAACATAGTCGATTTTGCTTTGGCAATATTGGAATTGAGTCACCGAGAGGACGCCAACATTGGTGAAGCAGATTAACCTCATCTTCCGACAACTGCAGGATTCACTGAAATAGGAATCTGTAGCAGGCCGTGAGCATTAGATATGACAAGAGTTTTTGTCAAACGATCCGCAACGAAAATTTCAGAGCAATGTAGCGGGCGTTTTCCATTGTTCTGGGCGTTATGCAATTTTCACTTTAGTTGCTTTTACAGATTCGATTTACCTGCAGTTTGCAGTTTTACTGTCCTTTTTTTCGTATATATTCCTTTTTGTGCTTATATACTTTACTCGGCATATAATTTTGGCTTAGCTACCTAATTTTGGTTTTGGTTCGTTTCATGTGACAAATAATTTGAAGGCTCACCTTTGAATTGCACAAAATGCTTGAAATATGTGAGTTAATCGGTTCTTCGGGAACATACCACACGGGAACATACTGCGGGTACATACTTCGGGAACATAATTATATCTAAATTTTCAGTAAATTGTTTTGAAAATTTGCTTGTTTCAAAACTAATTTTTTAAAGCTTTCATAATATTTTATTTTATTTGTTCAAAAGTTGTTGTAAGACCTTTTGTTCCAAATTTAGTTTCATTAAATTTACATATGCTTAAAATTTTACTCAAAATATGATTATGGATAGAAAATAATCTATGTTTGTAGGAAATATATACTAAGTCATCCCACGAAATTTTTCAATACTTGTGATTTTATATACAAATCGAGTTCGAAAAATTTTTAGCTCTCTTTCACCAGACTTTGATCAAATGTTGAAAATCACGAACATCATCAGTGCAATTAAAGAGACGACTGGGAAAAGCTTGTTCGAGTCTCCTTTTTCATCGTCGTCGTCGTTGTTGTTGTTGTTGTCATCGTCATCATCTGCTGGAGGGGGAGGAGCAGCAGTTTTCGGAGGAGCAGCAGTGATCGGAGGGGGAGCAGTGGTCGGAGGGGGAGCAGTGGTCGGAGGGGGAGCAGTGGTCGGAGGAGCAGCAGTGGTCGGAGGGGGAGCAGTGGTCGGAGGAGCAGCAGTGGTCGGAGGGGTAGTGGTGAGAGTGCTTGTTTCGCAGTTCAACGTGTCGTATCCCTTGTCGCATTCACACTGATTAGTCTCCGAGTTGCAATTTCCATGGCCATAGCAATTGCTAAAAACAGTCATTTGATTAGTTAGACTAACTCATCTGAATCATACTCCCCACGAACGAATTCGAGGACGAAAATCTCGTTTGACTTCATATTTGTATGCTTAGAAATTCAACTGACGAATTTTTTAAATTTTTTTATTATGAATACAAATTGAATAGGAAAAAGTTTTGTTTGTTGTTAGTTTACTTTTCAGAGTAACTATTGTTTAAGTTTCTAATTGAAAATGTTGACTATTGTTGGTTCAACTTACAAGGGACACGTTGTGAGTCCAGGTATCTGGGATATGTGGAAACATTCTCTGTTGTGACAGAAGCTGTCTTCATCACACCATATTCCATTTCGCACATAGGCCAGATCATCAGCCACGTCCATGGAGGGAAACAACCAGCCGATAGAGTGGCAGACGAAAGAACTCAGGCTGATGGTGTACGTGTGAACACTTTCCAAGTAGAATGGCTCAACGTCAATGTCAAATATACACTGCAGTTTCCCACACCTGAAATGCACATATTCATTATTCAAATGCGGAGAAGGGAAGTTATATTGAATTAATGAAATTATCGGTGACCTTATCGGTGAAATTACCGGCCAGATAAGTGTGTGAGTTCATTAGATTTGTGAACACTCTTTTCACCACATGTTGAATAGCGTTAAGAAATTGTGTTGGAGTTCAACTGAGCTGATTGCGTTTTTCTCGCATTGTTTGATTAAAATGGATGCTGTCAAGAATTTGGCATTAACTTAAGAAAATGATTCTAACTCACTAAAATTCGTGCTTTGCTATTACTGACTTTGCTTGAAAATTTTGCGATTGTTTTCTTGAAACTGAGGAAAACTTGTCCTACAGTCTATAAAACCACGTGACTCTCAAACTCGATTGGCTCAATTGGCAGACGTTGACCCGGTCTGTCACTTACCTCTCGTTTGCAGCTGTACAAGGAGTCACGTCTTCATGGTAAATGGACCCGCAGTTTCCCCAGTTATCTCCATCTCTGTTGTACACCCAACACTCGTCTCGGTCGCCAGAGTCTGTTCGCAAGCCAGTAGAACCGTAAATTCTAAACCACGACAGAAAGTTTGTTAAATTTACTGGCTGAAAAAATTACACGGTTTGAAAACACATTTGTATATATTGTTATCTATTTATAATAAAAAAAATTGCCAGTGAAAACATTCTCATCTGGATAATTGTTTGCATTTTCCCGGATATCGATTTAGGGTTTCTAGGACCGCGGTGTTTTCTTGAACTAATTAATCATCTTCTGAAAGAGTAGTCCATTAATTAATTTAAGCTACATACATGTAGAAATTAAAATCCACAATGGAAATGATCAACATTTAGGAGCACTTCAGTTTCAACGGAGAACCATTGGTGAACCAATTATTACAACTGCATCGTTTTTTTATTTTTTTGAGCTGAAAACTGTTTCCTAATTTTCAACCAACAGGAGCGAAAATGGACTCATACTGAAGACATTGGGAGTACACAGATCGACAACTCCCCGCATAGCAATGTCCCGCGGCTCCGTCGTCAGTGCAATCCATGCCCGCTCTCTTGAAGTCGTCATTCGGACACTCGGCACTAGCTCCGTCGCACTGTTCGGCTATGTCGCACTCGTTACACTCAGCTCGACAGACAAAGCCAGCACTGCGCACTTGACAGGATCCAGGGTCGCAGCAGAGATCCATGGCGGAACAGGATGCTCCTAAGAAGTTGGCTATTAACAATGGATAGCGATGAAACAATTATCTTCGCAGTTTTTCAAATAATTAACTGGCCTTTAAGAGCTGGCTTTCACAGTTCGGAAGATGTGAGAATTCCGCAAAATGAGAGGGGAGGTGTTTAAAAAAAACTGTCTGTCTATAGAATTGATTTTTGCAAAAAGCCATTTTTGGCATTTGGCGAGAGGTTTTCTTACAAAAAAGGAGCATTTAGGAATATTTGTAGGGTTGTTCAGTCAAAGGTGTCTGTGGGTGAATCCTTGGATAATGGAGGCTACCCCCCCCCCCCTGTCCCAACTCCACCCACCCCCCTCCCAACTCCACCATCCCACCCCTCTCGCTCTAAGGCAGGCTTAAAAATATCTAGATTTCGTTGCCTAAACCCTTAATCACGACGAGCAAGGCATTTTTTTGCAGACTGCTGTTGTACCGTTCAACTTTTTCAGAATACCCCAGTTGTGTTGGGTACCTGTGACAAGGGTGCAGTTGTTGGGGTGACAGCAAGGATCATCACAGGTGTCCACTCCCCCACAATCACACTCCTCCCCCTCCCCATTCACTATGTAGTCACCACAGAAGGATGGGACATCTATTTGTTGCGAGGGCTCATTGTGCAGACACATCGAGTTACCTAGGCGAAGTCAAATAAAACAAGCGAAGTCAAATAAAACAGGGTAATCCTTCAAAGACCAAATGAGCGAAATTTTTTTTTTTAACCAATGAGAACTCGCTATTCAAAGAAAACCGCAATAAATTTAATCAATTTTGGACAATTTAAAGTAGGATGATTCATGAATTAGAGAAAAAAATAAAAACAAGAACAGCCGGTGGCTGTTCAAGTAGCACAGAATGTTCCTACTTGATTCATAAAAAAGCTTTAAAGGTTATTTCAAGCCAGTGCCGTTTTAAAAAATGAATGACACTCAAAAAGTTAAAAACATTTATTTCGAATTTTTCTTACAAATTTCTAATTTTTGCGCAATAACTTCATAGTTTTTAGAAACCTTTTTTTTGCAAGGGAAGCATTAAACGAATTGACGAACTTTGATTAGGTAATATCAAATTTTCTCAGCCTACATTACTCAATCGCTTTACTTGGTCGAAATTAAAACAAAAGCTTAAACTAGTTTCTTTCAACATTGGGATAATTTTTTTGAAACAAATTTGTCGTTCGAATACTAAATTCCGTCAAATTTTCAATGGTCGGAGCAATAAACTGCTTGCTCAAATAGACTGCCTGTTCAGAACGCTGAAGATATTATGACTAACGTTTAATTTCTGGACAGTTTTCTATGAGAGCAGAAGAAATTGTGTCAGAGATGCGTGTGAGCTTTTCGAATATAAAAATATAAGTGCCATTCAATAGTTTTTGGGAAGATTCCAGCCAAGCGCTCATTAATCTAGCATTCATTAAGAGCATTCTAACACTACAATAAAACATTTGCAAAATAAACACGGTGAAGTCGTTATGACTTCTGTTAAAATTGGCAAAATAATTTGCTGTATTATTTTTCTCTGAACAAATTTCGTATTTTAAAACCATCTAAATTTTTTGCAAGCTGAAAACTGCAAGAGATATCTTAGCTTTGATTGCTTCCTTGTGATATTGTGGGGTTCCGAAGCTGCCACTGGCCCATATGTGATAATTAGTGCGCGCTATACAAGTTGAGTGCGAAATAGTTAGTCACCTGGACCACGCGTTGAACTAAATTTGAAACTACAGTGCTGATTTAAATTATCCGGACAAAACGAACAAAATTTGAAACTTCAAAAGAGTTTTTCTCAAATTGGGTGAGATTAGACAAAGAGTGAATAGAACAAAAATTGTTGATAGTTTATCCAGAATTAATATGGCTCAATTTTTTAAAATGAAATTCGCAACCAAAATTTTACCTCAAAAGTGGGTCATTTTAACTTTTTTTAGTTAACCAAGAATTACGCTGAAACTGAACGTAATTCATGAGAAAATTATATTAGAAGAAGCGAATTACACAGTTGAACAAAGTGCTATAAAGGTAAAACGTCAAAAAATCAGTTTAAGAAAATATATTTTTGGTTGATAGCCAATAAAGATTGTTTTTAGATTGTAAAAATCTAAATTTTTGCTTTAAATCTTTTTTTTTGAAAATTCTACTCTTCTAAAACTCTGTTGAACTGTGTAAGGTGCTTTTTATAAAGAAGTTTTTTCTGAAATAACTCAATAGTTTTAGCGTTGATTAGCAAGAAAAAGCCAACATTACCCAGGTTAAATTATAGTTAAGAGTTTCATAAAACAAACTGCAACCAATTAATTCTGATGAAACACAAGCAACTTTTGTTCTGTTCACTATTTGTCTAATCGCCAACCAATAATTTGAGAAAAATGCACTTCAAATTTTGATCGACTTGTCCGGAAAATTTAAATCAACCCTGTAGTTTCAAATTTAGTTCAACGCACGGTCCAGGTGACCAAATCTTTTGCAATCAACTTAATTTCAAACGCAATTGAAGCAGACTGGTAAAGCTAGAATTTGCTTTAACTAACAGAATTGATCTAATGTTCTTAAAAATGAGTGCGTGTGTTGAGTTTTTTTGTAAATGAAATGTATGTTTTGCTTTTCAGAAAACTTTTTCAAAATTGCTCAAAAACCAGTTATCGCCACTGTCGACTAACTCATTACTGTATACTTAGGTCAGTTATTCTTTGTAACTCAGAATTCGATGATTTGTTTTTGATAAATTGGTTTAATGTTGAAAATTCAACTCCTTTTCGCTGGTGTAAAAAATAACGAACAGTGATCCAGAAAATTTAACAAAGTTTGCAAGAACGGCGAGTTGAAGTACCTTCATTATGATTCTTTTTATGATGCTCATTAAGACAATCGTATTTAAACTAAGTTTACTATCAACAAAAATTTTTTTATCGATCGACTGAAATTATAACTTTTTTTTTCAATTGATTTTATCACAAACTTTTTTTCCGCCAATAAACAAGAAAAAGGAATCCATTTACCCTTTTTTTAAACTAATGAAATTATATCATAAGGGTCAAGTATATTTTAAAAAACAACTAAGTGCTATTAGATTCATGAGCTGTTTTCATGTTGAAGTGATTTAACAAAATTTTCACCAGCTCAGATTTTGTTTCTGAATTTCAGTTACACAATATACGTACTGCAAAGTTATGCCCAACAATCGAGAATCAAACGGTTTTTCGTGAAACAAATACAAGTTTTTGAAACACAGTTTTCTTATTTTTAAACGTCGAGATAAAGCAAAACTGAGATTTAAAAAAAAAGCATTTTTTGGTTGAATAAAAAGTCGAATACAAAGTTAGAACTTATTTTTCTATGAATAATTATGTTATTTTTTTGATTAACTATGGTAACGATAGATTTTACTGTTATATTATAACTGTCTGTATAGCCATTTTTGTCCTGGTACGTAATCTCGTAAATCCAATTACACATCTTGATTTATATTTCTCAAAATAGTTTTGGAATCTTGAAAGAAAAATCAATTCAACCACGTTCTCAATTACGTTTTTCAAAACTTTTTTCTGACTCTTGAAAAAAATGACAAGTTAACTACGTGCTCAATTCGAAGCACTGATAGAATTGAACTGCATAAGAAATTAAGATTTTTTAAACTCCATTTTTTGACCTGTACCGGTTAGCGCAAGAAAACTAGATTATTGATAATAGGTGGCCTAAACATTTTTTTAAGCATTCTTACACTACTCTTCGTTGTATATTCATGTAAACAATATAATAAATAAATCTTTTTTTTTAATAAGAGAACAGAATCGATTATTATGTACTGAACTCATGAGCTAATTTCACTTCAGTTGATTTTCGGACGACTAAAAAACTAATCGAAAACTCGTTATCACAAATGTATAGATCCCGTATACGATGAAGAATTGCGTTTAGTTGACTGTTTTGACAATAAAATAAGCCCTTATTGAATTGTCGAAACATTCAACTTTTAAAATCGTGCTGTTCGCAATGCCTCGTTTTAGCATTATACGATCGAACAAAGCTTTCAAGAATTTTTTATTTGTTTGTTGTTGCGTTTACACCTGCCGCAACTTAATTCACACTGTTTTGGTATTATACGATTGAACAAAGTTTCAAGAACTATTTTATTGACTTTGGTTGCATTTACACCTGCCGCAACTTAATTCACACTGTTTTGGTATTATACGATTGAACAAAGCTTTCAAGAACTATTTACTGACTTTTGGTTGCCTTTACACCTGTCGCAACTTAATTCACACTGTTTTGGTATTATACGATTGAACAAAGCTTTCAAGAACTATTTGTCGACTTTTGGTTGCATTTACACCTGCCGAAACTTAATTCACACTGTTTTGGTATTATACGATTGAACAAAGCTTTCAAGAACTATTTATTGACTTTTGGTTGCATTTACACCTGCCGCAACTTAATTCACACTGTTTTGGTATTATACAATTGAACAAAGTTTTCAAGAACTATTTTTTGACTTGTAGTTGCAATTACACCTGTCGCAATTTATTTCAAAATAAGCAAAACCCGGCATGTTTATGCGACGGATGCACGTTTATAAAAAATAATACGCTTTTCGTGCTCAGAAGTTAAAATTCGTCTGGTTATTTCTATCTTTTCATTATCAAATTGAGTTTATATTATCAAAGATCAATCAGACTTCTCTCCAAATATAGAACGAGTATTGTTTGATGCATGCACTGTTTTGGTATTATACAGTTGAACTACGCTTTCAAGATTTATCGACTTCTCGTTGCGTTTATACTTGCCGCAAAGTTATTCAAAATAAACAAAAACCGGCGTGCTTAAACTACGAATGCAAACTTATAAAAAAACAACACGTTTTTCTTGTTTAGAGATAAAAAGTTGTCAGCATCTTTCTATCTTTTTGTTATCAAACAGAGTTTGTGTTATCAAAGATCAATCATATTTTTTTCCAAATAAAGCTGATATTTTGCCGCATAATGGTGTTTAAGTTGTTTTTGCAGGTATTTACTAGACGTTCATGCAGTCTTGACTTTTTAGTGAACTTCGAAAACACAGCTATTGAAAAATCAAATATAAGTGCGAGTATCACAGAAAAAATAGAAAATAAAAAGTGAAAAATTAGTCTTATAGCAGACCAACGTAATACAGTGATAGATGATTGATTGACAGACTCAAAAAGACGCTCAGTCTGGGGCCAAGCTTCCCCAAATAAGTCAAGTATTTCACGATTTGTCAACAACACTATCAACTTCAAAAACAACAGTCTAAATTAGCGGCAAAACGGATTTACGCGCACAATAACACTCGGGTTGAATTGAAGCTCAGCTGAGCAAGCGGTCGCTAATCGCCAATGCCGCGTTGGAAGTTAGCCATCAAACTTTTTAATTGTCCTGGGTCTGCTAAAAAACCGGCCTGCTAAAATCCCTAGCTTTTTATCTTCAATTACCCGAAATGCCAGTAAATTACCAGATAAGGAAATCAAATTAAGTATAAGCTACATCAATTGCAAAAGCAAAGAATTATAGATTTTCATTTTCCTGAGCTACAACGTTAGTTTCAGTATTACTTTTGTCATAATTTGGTTTAGTTTTTGCTTTCGGGAAAGAAATTTGTCATATTGCACCAATCTCAGTTTTCAATGCATGTGTTTGCGTAAACGAATAACGAGTTTTGGGTTTACTAATACATTAGTTACTTGAATTACCACACCAGGTCATACAAGTTCAAATATGTCATATTGAAACAATTTATATCAAACTATAAGATCAAACATATTAAAACAAAGCAAAACTATTGAGCTTAAAAGCAAAGACTTAAAATCGTGCAAGCTCTTCACACAATTTTTTTCTCAAAAGCTAAAATTTAAAACCGTGATTTTCTTCATAATTCTATTGTTAATTAACTTCTTAGATTATCACAATTATTGATGCAATCGCAAAGTGGCTTGTAAAAGATCAAGTATCAAAGCGAGTTTCAACTGCGGTTAAAGCATATTTTAAAAAATTTCATCCTCTTGACATGTTTATTCATTAAATGCCGCAATTAACTACTTAAGAATAGCATTAAAGTTTTTTTCTTCATTTCGAAAAAAAAGTATAGACCAACTGAAAACCAAAAAAGGATAGCCAGTTGCTCTGCAAGTAGCACGAAGGTTCAGATTTCATTGATAAAAAAAAACAGAAACAAAAAATTTTCTTAAAATTAGTGTTATTTGTTTGCGTGTTTCACGATGAGAAAACTGTACAATGCGAAAGAACATCAGTTGTATTTTAAAAAAAAGAAAAACAAACAAACAGAAAAAAGAAAAAAAAATTCGAGAAAAAAATTTTTCTTCTAATTTTTTTGTTTAATAACTTTTTATTTAAAAAAAAAATGTCACCTAACGAGCTGTAAATGAAACTTCCAAAACTAGTTCCCGTTTTAGTAATATGAAGTCTCCTTAGTCAATTAACATTTTTTAAATAGCTAGCGTTACTCCATGGCTTATCTTGCTCGAAGTTAGACTCAAGCTCAAAAATTTCAAAGATTTTTTGACATAGACAATTATTTTCAAAATTCTGCAATTTCGTTCAAATTACGACTGAAAGGGTTATTTTATGATATATCACTCACCCCATTCCGATGATTAATTGTGTAATTGTGGTTCCTAATTTTGCGTGCAAAAGAGAAAACAAAATACACCCGAAAACGAAATTGTGTCTAAATGTCATTGATCTGAACGAGTATTTGGAGTTATTTGCGAATTTCAAAGCCAAAACACTATTTTTTGGTAGATATCTAATCAATAAATCATTTAAAATATTTTTTGTTACAATTTTAAATGTTTTTTTTTGCTGAGCTTTCCGTTTAAGCTTTCCGTTTAAATACTTTTAAGCTTTCCGTTTTATGATTAGAAAACAGCCAAACTTTTTAAATACAGTCTGCTGCACTATTTTAAATACAGTCTGGACTGTAGAAAATCAGTTTCAAAAACAAAATTTTGACAGTTTCTTAATTTAACTGCTGTCTACCAAATACATAACAGGCCAAACAAAGGCAAAGGCGAACTTAAGGAGTGTTTTTTGGAATGAGTAATGTAAGTATTTTAATTGAAAAAAAATTGGGGGGTGAGAATGTCGATTTTTTAACTCTCCTAACAACACTACCTGTTCTAATTAGTGTACATGCGCGTAGAACACGCCTTCTCAAACACGTTTAGTAAAACATTTGAGAAAATTATATCATTAACGAAAAAAATTAGGCATGAATATCTCTTTTTTCACATTGATTTTGTTGTCGTACTGAAGATATTTGAATTTTCCTAAACAGTCAGACCTTATTTTTAGCGTGTTTTCAAAAATATTTTTTCTCTTTTCATTTTTTTCAATCTATATCTGCTGTTTCTGAAAATTGTCGAAAAGTTAGAAGAAAGTTAAAAAAAGTCGAAAATTGATTTTTTTTCTGATTTTTTCTACAATTTACTGTGGTCAGAAACATTTTCAATTTGTCCACAATAACTAGATACTATTGATGTTTTAGAAGACATGGAAAATGATGTCCAATGAGTTGAATTCAAAGTAGAGCAACTACTTTGCGCTAAATTTAAGGCTACAGTGCTGATTTAAATTAACCGGAAAAAACGCGTCAAACTTGAAATTTAAAACGCGTTGTTCTCAAATTGGGTTGAGTTTAGGTGAAGACAATTCTTGCGTAATTTTTTAGCAGAATTGTTATGGTGTAATTTGGTTTGCAAAATTCGGGCCAAAATTTTTACCCCAAAAATGGGTCATTTTGGTTTTTTTTAGTTAATCAAAAATTACGCCGAATATACTCTGTCGATCACAGACATAATTATATCAAAGTGAGCGCCTTACGTAGCCCAACAAACTTTAAGAAGGGTATATTCTTCAAAACATTATATAAGTTAATTTATTTTTGTTTGATGGACAAAAAAGTCGTTTTTACAATATAAAAGACCAACTTTTTATTTAAAAACAATTTTTAAACGGTTTGCAATTTTTTTTGGAGAATATACTATTATTACAGTTTGTTGGGCTACGTAAGGCGGTCTCTTTGATATAATTATTCGTTGATATTATCCATATTAATTCTGCTAAAAATATAAGCAAGATTTGTCTTCATAAGTTTTCACCTGAACTCAACCCAATTTGAGAAAAACGCGTTTTAAATTTCAAGTTCAACGCGTTTTGTCCGATTAATTTAAATCAGCACTGTATTTAATCAATTTAATTACACTTGCGAGAGCAAGTGTTTTGGAATTAACTAATATTTTACGTTCTATGGTCGTTCTTTAGTTTTAATGACTTACCTTGTTCCAAATAGTTTTTCAGGGATTCCTTTTGACAGTCAGAGAAAATTTGCGGGGGAGCATCTGCAGTGTAGGCGTCCATGACACAGTACCCTTCAGGGGGGCAGTAGCAGGGGTCTGTGTCGTCAGTGGGGTTATGCACGAGTCCGAAGTTATGGCCCAGTTCGTGGGCCAGTGTACCTGCTGTCATGGCCGCTACTCTGTCATAGTCCTTCACAAAACTACCTGTAGTGAGAATGTTTCAGAAATCAATTGCGATGGATTATCGTTTATTAAGTCTTATAAGAAGAAGTATTTGAGCTCAATACTGTCTAAATGATACGGATGCGAAGTTATTTGTTAAGTCAACCCTCCCAAACTATTTTAATCAGCACATCACCTGATCCATATAAGTCACAGAGCACGTCCAAGTAGGCCAATCCGACAGTGCCTGAGTTATCGGAGAAGTTCTTGGCGATGAGGAGAATGGCATTGTCGTGGTTGGGAAGAGTCTGCAAGTTTTCAAAGTGGTAGTCCAAAAACAAGTCCAGCACTGGGTCTTCAGTTGTGTTGTCTGCTGTCGGGTCTGCCTCGGGGGTGGAGAAGGTGTGAACATCTACCAGAGACAAGTGGAGGTTTATGTCAGTCATCTCAGCATAGTAAAAGTCAGCAAAGTGAATGATTTCAATATCTCTGTCCAAAAGCTAAAATACAACAACTCATATAAAATGACAACTAAGAAAAACTTGACCAATTATTCATTTCAAACCTCAATTTTAAAAACAAAACTCGAAGTATTGAGTATTGTGGATTGTGTCGAGCTGCAGACCAAAAACATAATATTTAATAGATTTTCTGATAACGTTTCTTTTTTGCGTTTATTTTCCTTAAAGTTTAACAGGAAATTCCACAGTTTAATGCAAATATATTTTCAAAACCAAAAAAGAAGTTATGACTAACATCCTGTTCTGAGGGTCCGAACACTTCGTAGTAGTCGAATGAATGAAACAGGATGATTTCCACGTAGCTTCTCTCTTGCGTGTTCCGTCGGTACCTCGAATTTAGCTGCTTCTCCGAACTTTTCATTTTTTTCGCGGGGTCCAGTGAAACAGCATTCACCGGGTCAATTTTCGACCGAAACTTTTTGTTACTATTTAGCTGTTTCGCACCACAAACTTTGTCGTTTTTCAGATCTTTCCGAAAATGTTCACTCGAGAACATAATCCATGTCGCGTTTTCATTGTTAGTGTAGAGTGTGAAAACTTTTCCATTCAGGAAAATTAGTCCAGAAAGTTCTGGAATTTTCTGACCATCCTTGCTGCAGAACTTGATTCGAACTGGGCTGTCGGTTTTGGCTTGTTTGCCCTTTGAAATGTATCCCTGATATAGACACTTAGTGACTGAAGATTTCAGACGGGCACTGTGCAGGTTCCCTCTTTGAGTCAGAACCAAATCGATGTTTCCGATTTCGGTATTGTCAGTAGTCAAATGAAGTTCAGTTGATCCCTTTTCACCGCCGGACACAAGAGCCGCGGATGAGATTGTAACCCATGATTCGAGCTTGTCTGTAATTTGGTCCGATTTTATTAGCGGCAACAAGACCACAGTTAAAATGAAGAACAGCAAAACCAGGAGTTCAAACTTCATTCTGATAAATTCAAACAAATAGTGATCAAAAATCTGCTGGCTTACAAAATTACTCCGATGAATCTGGCATCGAATAGAACATCATTGTTATTGACGCGAATTAACGATAACTGAAGACGCGCTTCCAATTAAAATTTTGACGCAAATCCGCAGTCGACGTACTTTCTTTTATGTAAAACTGGCCATTAAAAATTACAGTATCATATTAATTTTCTAACCGGTCGACTATAACTTTTGTCGGTCATTTTTATTTATTTTTAATCAAGTGACGTTGATTGACTAAAGCAAAATCAAAGCTCAACATGGCGCTTTTCATGACGAAACTTGAAAAACAGGTAATATAGCCGTTTCTTATGTAACCATAAATAGCAGTGATTACTAACACTGAATCAAAAATTAAGTAAATATGATTATTTGCAAAAAGCAATTTTTTGATCGAAACCTTCCAAAAACGGCAATTATGGCATATTTTCTAAAAAAAAAACTTAAAAAAAATTCTTCATATTTTCTTCCTGTGGCGCGGAGTTTTTTTAAAACCAAAGTAGGATTTGTCTGTTGTTTTGCAGGAGAATGAGGAAACGAAAATCAATCCAATCGGGCGAAAATTTTTTCAACATTTAAAAAAATATAGAAATTATTAAATCACGAAATAGTGGGTTCAATTGGATAGAGAGCTTAATTATGGGCAACTGTTGACCTCCATAGACAAAAATTCAAACCACACAATTCCATACAAAACTAAACTGTTCATCCTTTTATTCCATACAAGTAATTTATGATATTCCAAGAGGAAGCATTTTATACACGGATAAAAAAAAATGCCGAAGTAGGAATCTTTTTGCTTTTTGGCCTCAAAATAAATTTCAGCTTCGTATCAGCGTTTTCCGAAAAATATTTGCATTCAAACTTTTGTGATTTTTTTTCAACGTAGTCCAGGCTAATATTTTGTACGTATGAAAATTTTGTACGCGCTCCCCTTCAAAATTAGTATATTGGCACCAAAGGATATTAGTATATTAGTATTTGCCCCCCCCCCCCCCTCGAGAAAATCCTAGATCCTAAATTAGAAAATATTGAATGATTAGAACCTTTGGTCAACCTGGGTATCTAACCATGTCTATTATTGACTAGTGTTTGTTCCGGTGTACTTAAATAGAAATTTGCGGATTCCCCGGCATATGCGACAAGTTTTAAGATATTAGACGATGGGGTCCCACGTCAAATCGTTTTGTGGCAGAAAACACTGAAAAAGTGCTCTGTTGTGGAAATCGTGTTCAAGCGTTCGTTCCTTCAGCTGAATTGGATTCCATTGGTACACATTTACCGTTCCTTTTTAAACAATTTTTATTTTAAAAAATCACTAGACAAATCAGATCTCCAGTACTGGAGTATTTAACTCAACCAGATCCCAGTAAGAGGTCATATCAACCGTGCGTCTTCATTCGAGTCCCGAATGTTAAGTATTTGCAGACTAAAAGACCAAAATGAGAAGCTATATTCCTTGTTACGATCAGGATCATTTTTTCTATCCCGTGATTACTGATTATAGAAACGTCTTTTAGCAAAGTTAGAAAAAATGCATTAAATATTTTCACTAGATATTAGATCCACTAGATAACAAATTTTAAAAGAGTTTTAGCCCCTTTCATACATTTTCGCTGAAAATTTCTAACACATACATTAATTATGTTAAGATTCAGAGTTAGAGCAAGTAGGACTAGGGGATAGAGGTTTGAGAGTTATCTGAGATTTCAACTGAGGAGAGAGAAGAGATACTGATTGTTGAAGAATGAATTGAGATTGTGTTTTTAAAATGACACGACAAACTGAGCATCAAATAGTACCAGTTAATTAATTACCAGTTAATTAATTAGTTTATCAAATACCAGCAGACCAGTTGACCTTGTCTGAGTGCATTGAGTTTTATACCAGTTGACCTTTAATTAGGTTTCTATTGCTCAAGTCTGACCTTGAGTTTGGTCTGGTATTTCACTAGTCTGGCATTGAGCTCGTCTGTCCTCAACACCCCCACTCAGGCTGAATTGGCTTTGTCCAATGTCAGGCTGCAACCCATCAGCGTTCGACGATGTTGATCCACCTTTGCCTTGCTCAGGGATTTCGTCAACAAGTCAGCCTCCATGTTTTCGGTTGGACAGTACTCGAGCGCAAATGTTCCATCCTCGACCCGCTCTCGGACAAAGTGATACTTGACATCAATGTGCTTTGTACGCTTCTGCATTACGGGATTTTTGCACATCTTGATGCAGCTCTGGTTGTCCTCGTTGATCACAGTTGGACCATCACACGTCATATCCATCTCATTGAGTAGGGATCGTAAGTAGAGGCCTTCCTGAACAGCCGCTGCCATTGCTTGATACTCAGCTTCGCTGGTAGATATTGCTGCAGTAGGTTGCTTCTTGGTACTCCAGCTGATTGCTGCTCCTGACCGCTGCACATGAAAACTGTAGCCTGTTGTTGACCTTCTGTCATCAACGTCACCAGCCCAGTCAGCATCTGCTGAACCATAAAGGTTGAACCCATCAGGATCTTTGATGTAGCACAGCTCCAGATCTTTGGTTCCTTTCAGGTATCGCAGTACTCTCTTAGCAGCCACCCAGTGTGTTCTCCCAGGATTCTCCAGAAACCGTGAAAGTTGAGTCACAGTAGCTAGGATGTCTGGCCTCGTTTGCTTGGCTATGTACAATAACGAGCCCACTATGCCTCTGTAGTCCTCACGCTGCATTGCCACTGCTTCTTCTGAGCCCGCTCCAGGGCAGTCCTTCTTCGTCAACTGAGTGCTGATATCAGCTGGTGTCCCTACTGGTTTGCAGTCAGCCAACCCAAAGCGCTCCAAGCAGTCTTCAATGTAGCGAGACTGATTCACAGTGACAGAACCAGGTGCCCGTTTGACCTGCATTTTCAAAAACCAGGCTAATGGACCGCGATCATCCATCTTGAATCGGTCAGTGAATCGGTCCCTCACCCTGTCAACTTCTGCTTGCAGTTTGCAGCCAATGATGATATCATCCACCCATACTAGAACATAGATCATAGCATCATCCATTCCCCTCATCGTGAACAAACAGAAGTCATTGGTGCTTCGAGTGAAACCAGTCTCCAGAAGAAACGTGCTCAGCGTCTGGTACCAGTCCCTTCCTGCCTGCTTTAGCCCATAGATACTGCGTTGTAGCAAACACACTTGGTTGTCCCCGCTGCTGAACCCCTCGGGCTGTTCCATATACACAGTTTCTGTTAACGGCGAGTTGAGGAAGGCTGACTTCACGTCCATCTGATGAAGTACAAGATCATCTTGCGCTCCCAAAGCCAGTAGTATTCTCTTTGTTTCTGGTTTACAGGTTGGCGCAAAGGTCTCATTGAAGTCCAGTCCTTCCACTTGCATAAAACCCTTCACCACGTATCTGGCTTTAAACCGCTCCACTTGTCCCATTGCATCTCTCTTCACAGCAAGCACCCAGCGTCCAGGAATGACCTTGCGAGAATTTGGTCTATCAACAAGTGTCCAGGTGCCCATTGCCTTCAGTGACTGCACCTCCAAAGCCATAGCTGCTAGCCACTGCTCCCTTTCTGGTCCAGATACTGCTTCCAAGTAGCTTCTTGGCTCTTGTGCTATCACTGAAGCATGAGTGTAAGCCAGTCCGTATCGGATGGGAGGGTTCCGCGTTCTAGTTGACCGCTGCTCTGGAATCTCTGTTGGCCTCTGCTCTGGAGGCTCTGTGGAAGGTGGTTCCAATTCTTCAGTCTCGACTGGGTCATCTTCCGTAACCCCCACTGAAGCTGCTGCTCCACTATCATTCGCTTTATTGGTAGACTCAGTGATGGTCTTCGTGCTAGTTTCCTCTACATCAATGCATCCCTCGATTGATAGACCCAGTGTTTGTGACTGCTCACTGTCTACCAGAAAGTCGTCTGGAATGATGTCTTCATTGAACGTCACGCTTCTTGCTCGTACCACTCGCTTTGTCTCCAGGTCCATCAGCAAGTAGGCTTTGCTCTCCTCGTCATAACCAATGAACTTGCTCTTCTTGCCTTTCGGATCCAGTTTCCGCCGGTTTCCTCTGTCCAGGTAGTACGCCAGGCATCCGAACACTCGCAGGTAGTTGACTTTCGATGGCTTCCCATAATGCATCTCCATTGATGAAATGCGATGCTCATTGCTGGATGTAGGACACAAGTTGCGAACCCTGACTGCCGTTGACATTGCTCGTACCCAGAACATCTTTGAGAGCTTTGCATCGGCCAGTAGACATCGAGTCATCTCAGTTATCACCCTGTTGTACCTCTCTGCCACGCCATTCTGTTGCGGAGTATTAGGTACTGTAAACTCCTGTTTCACCTGCATTTCTCTACAGAACATCCGAAAAGCATTCGACGAATACTCACCTCCGTTGTCAGTTCTCAAGCACTTCGGTGTTCCGTGCTCAGCTACAAAGTCTTTGAACTTCGAAAGAGTATCGCTCTTCTTAACCAGGTACTTGACCACTGCCAGACGGCTGAAGTCATCAATGAAGCTCACGGCATAGCGCGCTCCATGCATGCTCGCAACTTCAAATGGTCCCTGGATGTCGCTGAAGACCCGCTGCCCCACTGCAGTTGCCCTGTTCTCTGTCTTCTTTGGCATTGCTACTTCGTGCATCTTCGAAGCTGTGCACACTTCGCAGAACCCTAGCTCGCCGACATCAACAACTGATATTAGATCATGCTTGTTGAGATGCCCCAGCCTTCGGTGCCACAGCATTGCACTACTTGTCTCCATCTTCGCTTTCGTAGCTAGAGTCATCGCGTTCCTCTTGAACTTGCACTCCAGGAAGAAAAGCTTGCCGCGCTGCTTCACTGGTAGCCGTCGACCATCCGGTGCCACAAGATGAGAAGAGTCTGATGTAAAGCTGAAACTAGACCCTCTAGCTATTGCTGAGCTCACACTCATCAGATTCACGTTGTAGCTCGGCACAAACAGCACATTGTGGAAAGTGTAGCTCCTCGTCACATCTTGACAGTCTCGTATGTCCACTTCCACCGAGCCTATGCCCTCAATCTTTGATATTGTACCGTTCGGATTCTCAACTGTTGTCCCCTCATCCCATTTCTCAAAGCTTGAGAAGACAGCCTTGTCGCGCACTACATGATCGGTGCATCCCGTATCCACAATGAGATCATCTCCCTTCATTGAGGTTGTTGCACAACAACTGAAGAACCCTGTCTTTGCCTGCTTG